CGAAAGCTTAAACCTGCATAATTCAAGATTGAAATGTTTGCTTGTGTGACGATTCTTAAATAAACACTAATTCTATTCCATTCGCCTACTAACCGTTCGAGCACTGATTTTCCCTCCTTGTACTTTTGGTTCTTCTCATGAGCAGTTTCCTGAAATAGACCAAACCAAATCAAACCCTAAAACGTAAGTGATAAGAACTTTTGGAACAAGTGATAGGACAGCACAAAAACCTGTTGTACCATATTTGGTGTGTACACTGGGAGGGACAAAATTGCTTTTTTTGGCCCACTCAAATAGGTGGAATAAGATAAGGGAGAAAGACAAGATTTGTAAATTACTATACCACTCATGTCAAATTAAAATCCTAAAACCTTCTGCAATTCTTTTATCTGCCTATCTTACTCTCGTCCATCCAGTCCAGTCCAATCATATCCTGTATGTGTAGCAAATGCACACCGAAACAAGGTGGGCAAGTGTGTGTGTGTGTGTGTAGTTGACCATAAATCCTGAACTTATATTACCATTTGTCTATCTATATCCGATTTAGGAATCCCATTTGAATAAATGGGATCTAAAATCACACATTTTATTTCTTCACACAATATATAAATATAACCAAACGAACCCAGTATATAAACATAACACAACATCTAAATGCAAACCGTAAAATGATGAAAACCGAAAGCCTAGAGATCTTACATAAGTCCATCCGACAATTGATCCACATTTGACACAGAAAATGTCTGCAACTGTGTGTAATCCTGTCATCATCAATCTATCTTCCTTCACTCCAACTGTGACATTTGATCTGTCAAACATGACAAAGTTGTAATCTAACACAACACTATTTGAATCCATATGTATGCACAAAGATTGAATCCAAGATACAAACCAATGTTCCATTCCTTTATATCATTTTCTTCCACTCTCTGTTTTCCGTTTTGTACCTCATCTTAATTTCTTTTTACATCAACTTCCACACCGTATTATTGGACCCCGCAAAATGGATAAACTGGTCATTGAACTTTATGGATTTTCCGTTTCCATAAAATCATTAATCACATATTCTGATTCCCACAGACATACCATTATATCATTTCCGTGCAATTGTCATTCAAATTAACATCTTAAATTCAAGGTTGGAAGAATGATAGCACAGAGTAGTACAAAAACTTGGTGTCCCACGCTTGGTCCAACATGAGGCTGGGACGGGACCTGCAATGTATGGGACAGAATGATAGTTTTTCTGTCCCACCAAAATAAGTGGAACAAAAATCGGGAAGAAGGGACAAAGTTCATAAATTTCTAAATTACTCATATCAAATTAAAATCCAAAAACAGTACAGAATTCTTTCACCCGTTTTCTCACTCTCGCCCATCCAGTTCTTTTTGTCTTGTTCAATCCTGTCCACATACCAAAAGCACCCTAAAGCATAGGTTGCTACCATTTGACACTTAGGACTTTGGCATCCCACCTCATTTGGAAAGGAAATGATATAATTGATGTTACTATGCAAATCTACATAGATGATTGAGATTGAATGGTCATGGAAACAATCAAACAACCTCTTTACAAAAAAATGCACCAGGTATGTAGACTTCCCCACTTCCCCCTGTGCCCCCCTAGCACTCGTAAACCAAACAAGAAGTTCAAACTCCCTCACTTAAATTTCTGACAGCCTCATCATGCCTCAACAAAAATAAATAAAAAATTCTAGAAGCATTATGCACAAAAGATGCATGGATCCAACCCTAAGAGTAAGAAGTCATCACTCTCATACTTCCAAGCTAACACGCGTAACATCCAAATCAATCAGATCAATCGAAAGTTATTGGTGGTTCACAAGCTATGGACTTACAAAAGGCTCTTAATTCACATCCACAGTTATGCCAAACATGATGTTACTGAGCAACAAATTCAGATACAATGCATACTTGGGATAACATAAAAGAACCCATGTTCAATGGTTTCTAATTCTTTTTTCATAACTGTTGATGTCCGACCAGTTTATGGACATCTCGACTAATTGTATGGGGCCTTGAAGTTAACAGGAGGGAAAACCTCCTGTGGCCCATAGGGGACTTGAACAAGTGATCAATTGGGAGTAAGCCCATGCCCTGATTAGTTTCTAATTCTTAAAACTTGATAGAAATGAAAAGTAGCAGCCACATTGTCAAGAAACCATGTAAAATAAATCGAAAATAAACAACATTTAGGACACAGAAGTAATGAAAACTTACACCTTACTGAAGAGATAAGCCTTCCCGTGCTTGCAATGAAAGGACTGCAAAAAAGCCATAGGGTAAACCCCCAATCAGCAAATATCTCTAGATCAAACAAATTGATTCAGCAAAGAAAACCTAAAAAATTGCCCTAGAAACACACCAACTAGCAAATGTAGATATCCGATTTCAATCATATAGAAACACAAACCGTTCAATCTCAACAAGGAGTTGTTTGCGAAGGTTTTTAGGTCAAATCAATGTGAATACCAATTCTTAATTCTAATTGTTTTTTCAACTTCAATCCAATAAGTGTTTTAAGAACATCATCACATGGAGATTTTGCATAAAAATTGAAAATCAAAATAAGAAATCAAACAACTTTCTATAGACCTCTGAAAATGGATCGGCGGAATGAATCGGAAATAGGAGATGAGGATTGGAAGAACTCAACTGACCTTTGAAACAATGTCGTCGCAAAGAGCAAGATGGGTTTTACAGTGCTTACAACTGTAAATCTTCCCCTCCAATGTTACTAGAAACAATCGGCCCATTGAAGAAGATGTGAAAAGTGAGCAAGAAGGACAGTCTTGAGAAGATTCAATCAACAACAAATCCACGCAATCTGACCCCAGTAATCTTTTTGTTGCAATAATGGACCCCATCTTCATCATTTTCTGTTCTCTCAGAAGTACAACTTATCATGCAAAGAGTACAACTCTCAAAATAAAGGGTACCACCGGTTTCATTGGGTTTCTCAAGAATATTCATCTATTGGGATTGCTTATGAAAATAACTTATTGATTTATTCTGGTGTGATATCGATAAGTATTTTTGAGTATTTGAATAAACAATTTATACTAGTGTCGAACCGGTAATAAGAATTTTTTAAAGAAGTTAAACTCTTCTAACTTATAATAAGTTGATAAGTACTTTTATAAAAAAACATAAGTTGTTTTAAATAAGCAATCATAAACGCCCTCTTAATACAACGAATCTGGTAAATTGATATTTTAATATAATCGATATTTAAATAAGAAAACATTACATAATCCAAATAATATTGTTAAATTAATAAATAATTAAGCTTCTTTTCTTATTTTCATAAAACACAATAATGAGGCCTTCATCTTGGTTTTTTTTCACTCATATGATACGATAAAAGCACGAGATGCACGTGCCGAAGGTGGTGGGTGGATTTCTTTCCTTTGTTATCTATACTATATTATAAAGTATTTGGTAAAAACTTTTAAAAATCATTTTTTATATATGAAGTACTGTTTATTGATGTATATTACCTAAAATTTAAATTACAAGTAAATTGTGCATAAGTACAACTTATTAAAGTTTCATATTTTAATTTGTGTAACTAACTATGGATAAACATAATCAAATATTGGATAAATATCTCATTTTAAATATAAAAAATCTAAAATATAATTAAGATAATTTTTGAGTTATAACAAAATAATTTAGTTATTATCGTTATAAAAATTATGTTATTAAACTTAAATTAAATTAGTTCGTTACTAAACCTAAATTAAATTACAATACAAAATTTGAATTAAGGAAATTAAACCAAAAACAAGAATAAAACCACATAAAACCGTATTATATCGACATAAAAAAAAAGAATAAAACGAAATATTGAAATCGAAATGTGTCTCGATGCATTGCACGAGTACTCTTCTAATAAATAGATTATACTTGTCACAAAAAATTACATCATATATAATTCAATTAAAAGAGTGAATTCTTTTTTGTCTCTTTATGGTTGTTTTTGGGTTTTCGTTCCTATAATTTGGAAGGAAAATACCTAACTTATTCATTTTTTTGGTTTTGAATCCTTAAAATGATCTCTCTCATTAGCATTGTTAGAAGATGCTCATTAAGTGCATCATATAAAGAGCATATGACGTACTTAACGGAGCATCATTTAACAGTGTTAATAAGAGAGACCATTTTAGACTTCAAAATACAAAAAATGGACCACCACTATACTTTACCAATTATAGTAACAAAACCACTAATCTAACTATAAACAAGGGACTCTTAAAAAATTAAATATGTAAAATACTTTAATTCATGAAAATTAAAAAGCTTATGAACTAAAAGCAATCGTAGGTGGTATTGGAATAAAAAAAATCTATTAATAATAATGAAATTTCCAAATTATTTATATTATTTTAATTTATGATTTTATATCAAATTTAAAACAAAGTTAAATGATTTATTCGGGATAAAAATCAAAATAATGACTACATGTGTTAATCTTCGCTTTTTATATCGATTGTAATAAATAAATAAATAGACTTACGAGGGGGAATAATTTTATTTTAACCAAACATGAGTAATTGTTATTTGAAGATGGATTCTTTAAAATCACTCTTGAAGCCGAAAAATGGATTTGAAATGGTCGTTCAGACCATTTAACCGATCCGAACGAGTCTTTTCTTATATATATTTTTCTTTTAACTCAATTATTACATTGTTTAATATGCATATAATTTTAGTTTGACAAGACTTTTTGGGCTTTAGTTGCACATCTAACTAGCCCCCTTTGATTGGGATTTATTTAGTCGAATGAGTACTGGTCTTATCGAGACCTTTTTTCAAAGATGAGGAGTAGTACTGATTGATCCTTCGAGCATAGTCCCATCATGGGCTCGCTATTGTTTTTTGGCACAAACCAATCTAGGTCTCAATCTTTTTTATGCATTTGAGCTTGTATGTATGTTTTGTGTGTGTGTGTGAGTGTGGAAGTTAAGGTGAGAAGCTTTAGAAGGGATCTGGACCTTGATCACCTTTAATCTCAAGCACACCCATGAATCACCTTTGATACAGGGATTGGTTCGGTGCATCTCATCTTAATGTGCATCAAATGATGGAGATTTATTCTTACGTTTCTTACCTTAAACTCTCTTTCTTATCGGAACTCAACCATATATATGTGTGTATATATATATATATATATATATATATATATATAATATATATCTAGTTTTCATCTTTATAACTTGTAAAGTACATTGGTGATATAAATTTCATGTTTCGGAGCCCAAACCGGTTCATTCACTTAACACCGTTATAGGAGGCCCATTTAAATCAGTCATGTGTCCCTCACATGAAGGACATTTTCATCTTGTTATGCCTAAATTTTTAGCAAGTTACATTTTTTGTCACTTATCCGTGACTGCTTTTTAGTTTTGATCCTTGTAATTACATTTTCCGTCTCTTATTTTTATGTATATAGTTTTAAGCTTATGTACAAATAATTACACCTTTGTTTCAATTAAAAATCCTTATTACAGCTTTCATACAATTAAATAAACATAATGTATAAGAACAGTTAAACTGAACTTTTTCGTTAATATAAGAAAACCAAATATGTTTATTTTTTAATAAAGATTAATATATTAATGACGTCAATTAAGTTTAACAAATATTATTTTTTAAAACATATTCTAAATATTGATTGTTAAAGTTTTCTTATTGAATCATTAATTATAAACATTACTCCAATATTCTTTTGAAGATTATGGTTTAACTTCTGTTAAACACTGTCCTCGTAAGTTTTAGAGTGAACTATAAATTTGGTCTCTATAGTTTCTTGAAAGTAACATTTTACGTTCTTACAGTTCCGAAATAACAATTTGGCCATCATAGTTTTTAAAAAACAAACGGATTTGGTCCCTCCTTTAACAGCCGTTAAGCATTAGCCGTTAAGTAAGGGCATTAACGTCTTTTAGGTTTTTATTTTGTTTTATGTTAGAACTTAATATATTTTTAAGTCGTCCACTAAAACAATGACATGTGGCCCTGCTGGTCCTGGAAAGTAATGATTTGCACAAAATGTGCTTGTAGAACGGGGTAGAACACAAACATAACATATTTTCAATTTTAAATCAACATTTTGTATTAAACCCAAGAATTATAGATTTGTTGCGGAAACTAAGAGAAGACTTGTGATCATAAACAATCTGACTGATAAAAAATTTGCAAACACTGAAAGAGCAACAAAAAAAGGTGTTATTTCATATGTGAAGGACTAAGATAGTTTTTCAGATGTTGACGTCGATTTTTCCTAATAAACTCTCACATATAAGTTCTGTCAAAAGTCAAAACGGGGGGAGTAGCAATGAAAGACAAGGGTGCCCTTTTATAGCCATCATTGCATTAAATATTACTATTCAACTTTAATGTGTGTCTTCATATGATTTGTTGATCCATCATGTTTGTAATTTTCATTTCAGCCTTTGTAATTGATGTAGACACTTGTTATCATAACTCATCCTTTTGTAAAATAGTAAAGAAAGTATGACATTAATAAAATAATGTTTGGAACTTACTCTAACTGATATGTTGAATTGCTGAGCATGTTCCCATACTATGATGATTGTTGAAAGAGTTTATGAGCTAAACTTGCTAGACAAGTTTGAACTCCAAAATCCAGCTTACAGTAGTCATATTTGTCATACTACTATTTGACTTTATCTCGTATTGATCTTCTTTTTTACTAGATGACAAACTAATTCGCTTCAGTCATGATCTTGACCTCACTTCAACTAGTCTTTGATTGTGTTGAAGGTTTTTCGTTCTTGGATCAATAAAGACAGTTACAAGACTTCTACAAGTAAAAACTTATATGTTTTTCTATTTTGAAATATAAGCTATACATCGGATTCCATCTATAGATTATTTATGAAGTGGATTCATCGGGTTATAAAATAACCTATAGGTCCTTTACCAAACGCTTACTCGGTAAGTACTTACCGGCTAAATTCAACACTATCATTTACGGGGTAGAATTTTAGTCCACCAAAACAGTACTGTATGCAACAATTCACCCAGTAAGCGCTAATCGTGGTTAGAATCGTCGCCCTCACTTACTGGGTAAGATTTCGGTCCTTGCATTCGCTCTTACCGACTAGATTTTTGGTCCTTGTCAAATTCATCCGGTAAGGTAATGTGACTTGATAAATACATACCCGAGCAAGCGTTTCCTTAGTATAAAATGTGGGTTCTTAAAACTCAAGATAGAATGACCTTAAAAGATAGGTCAATCGGATTCTCTAAATCAGATGGAGAATAATCAAACCAAAATTTTGATCTTCACAATCTTATATAAGCTAAGGATTTGATGATTGATCAACATCTGAAACCTTCAGTCTTTTGAGTTACTAAGGTTCAAATGTCAATATATTTGAGTTATATCTGACAGATGTTGTTCATCGGATATACCCACTGCAAGACAAGCATTAAAAAAAATCTAAGTGTTTTATCAGATGTTAAATGTATTATTTACAAATTTGATGGTTGAGACCAACAGTCCTATCCATCCTCTTCCCACCAAAATTCCCCACACCTTTCCTTCTTATACCCCTTATCCGTATGAACTTCAACGACAACTCTCCTCCGTCGATCTCCTCTAACAAATATATACATATATATACACACACACACACATACAAACATATAGGCAAAAGATCGTGTGAGAAGGGAAGTTATGGTGAGAAGCGTAAGATTAGATATAAACCCTTGATCACTTTTAATCTCATGCCCACCCATAAATTATATTTTAGAAAGGAATTGATCTGGTACATCTCGGTGTATCTCATTAGT